GGGTATGTGGGGGGGGGAGGTTGTGTATGTGTGTGTATGTGGGGGGGGAGGTTGTGTATGTGTGTGTATGTGGGGGGGGAGGTTGTGTATGTGTGTGTATGTGGGGGGGGAGGTTGTGTATGTGTGTGTATGTGGGGGGGGAGGTTGTGTATGTGTGTGTATGTGGGGGGGGAGGTTGTGTATGTGTGTGTATGTGGGGGGGGAGGTTGTGTATGTGTGTGTATGTGGGGGGGGAGGTTGTGTATGTGTGTGTATGTGGGGGGGGAGGTTGTGTATGTGTGTGTATGTGGGGGGGGAGGTTGTGTATGTGTGTGTATGTGGGGGGGGAGGTTGTGTATGTGTGTGTATGTGGGGGGGGAGGTTGTGTATGTGTGTGTATGTGGGGGGGGAGGTTGTGTATGTGTGTGTATGTGGGGGGGGGAGGTTGTGTATGTGTGTGTATGTGGGGGGGGAGGTTCTGTATGTGTGTGTATGTGGGGGGGGAGGTTCTGTATGTGTGTGTATGTGGGGGGGGAGGTTCTGTATGTGTGTGTATGTGGGGGGGGAGGTTCTGTATGTGTTACGAGTTGTGTGTCTGGTTGAAGGGTTGAAAGGGAAGGGAAAGGGGGAAAAGAGGGAAGGAGAGGAGAGAAGAGGAGGCGACGGAAGAGGTTGAGGGAATGGGGATGGGAAGGCGAGAGATGAGGACGAAGGCAACCGCTGGAGGAGCTGTACTGCATAACCAGCACTGCCGTACACTCGTCGTACAATCCCACATGTCCTGTACTGCTTCTGCCAAAACGTTGGACACCGCCACCGGCTACTCCTGGCCGTTTCCCTCGTCCCGAGACGCGTGTCTGTCTGTCCGTTTGTCCATCTATTTATGCAGGCCACATCCGAGCATGCGGCTGCCGTACACTCGTACGTGGAGGCCGCCTCCCGCAAGTCTGATTTGGAGCGTACGGAGCTTCAGAAGGAGAAGACAGGCGTCGACACGGGTGCGCGTGGGTGTGTGTGTGTGTTGGGGTGTTGGGGGGGTGGTTGGCTGGGTCTGCTTTGTGAGCTTTAGGAATTGATTTGCCGTGTTTAGTTTGGTGGTGATGACGACATGCCGAATGGTAAGAAGAATAAAACCAGCTAAAGCTTTCTAAGTCCCAGTTCACGATCATGTTTCGTTGTGTAAAGTTCGTTTCGTGGTTTGAACAAGGTGTGCGTCACCGTCGGGGCTGTAAGTCCGTAAGTCCGTCCGCTTTGGGCTTTCGGTATTTCGCGTGCTCGTGTTTTGTCCCCGCGTCAATCCCCAATCCCCCCTGTGGGACATCTAAACCCTACCCCCTACCCCCGTACCCCCTACCCCCGTACCCCCTACCCCCGTACCGCCTACCCCCTATCACCTACCCCCAACCCCCTACCGACCATGAAGTGATTCATTACGTC